ATGAGGGGTGAGGGAATGCAGGATGACAGCGTGAGGGGATGAGGGGCTGGACGCCGTGAGGGGAGGGCTCACAGCGCCCCCTGGCGTGGCGCGCAAACCGCGGCGGGGCCATGGCGGGGCCGCGGGGCCATGGCGGGCGGAGCCTGAGGCACCGCGGCCGCCGCGCCCCGGGCCCCGCCGGCTCCTCTTGTACACGAAAGGAGCTTAAAAAGCCAGGCTTACTTGTTGGAGGTGCCGTGTAAATTGGTGAGAAGCGTGAAGTTGTTCCTCACGCTTCTTAGGCTGGCCAGCACCTGAGGGAGACAAAACCGCACGTGTCACCTTCTCCGCTTTAACGCCTTAGAAAAACTCTTTTACAGACCAATGTGCCACCAGCTCACCTGGGCGAAAGGTGTGACGATCAGGTCGTCGCCATGCCTAAGGAAAAACGGAGAAAAATGTATAAATTTCTGTACAAATTTACCTTCAAACAGAGTGGAATTCACTGCAGGGAAAGAGCGTTTTGCCAAGGGGGTTTTCCTCATGAACGTACCCACGGAGCATTTAGTTAACACCACAGAAAAGCTTGTTCCTAACGGAAAGGTCACCGTGTATAGCCAAAACAACTGGCTGGAGCGAGCATTCGGACTGGGAACGCCAGGCAATAAATGCCAGGAAATTCAAAAGTTAAGGCTCACGCTTGCACCGCGGTGGAAAAAAACCAACCGTAGTGGTGCGGGGAAAGGTCACCTTTGAATTTCCTGGCTTTTGTTGATCTCTGTCTCAGTCTCTAGCCTTGCTCAGACGCCGGGTTTTGTTTGGCTGTTTTCATCATGGAAGATTTGAGCAGAAGTTGTGAGCAAAATACAGCACTGCCAGCAATAAGAGGGATTTTTTTTTCCCTTTTTTCTTTTTGGTATTAGTTATGGTACTTGTGCGTGTATGGAACATTCTGTGTGATTTACCTAACTGAGAGATGGCAGGGTATAGAATCATTGAAAGGTTTGGGTTTGGCTTAAAGCCCATCCAGTCCCACCCCTGCCATGGGCAGGACACCTTCCAGCACCCCAGGTGGATCCAGACCCCATCCAGCCTGGCCTTGGACATTTCCAGGGATCCAGGGGCAGCCACAGCTGCTCGGTGCATCCTGTGCCAGGGCCTGCCCACCCTCCCAGCCAGGAATTCCTTCCCAATATCCACCTAAATTACCCATTTTCAGCTTAAATCCATTCCCTCTTGTCCCTCCATCCCTTGTCCCAAGTACCTCTTCATCTCTCTTGGAGCCTCTTTAGGCACTCTTGGAAACAACGTTTGGTCAATTCTATTCTTAATCCCATAATTAACAACAGGATGTACTGCAAGGGCAGCAGAGTCAGCTCCAGTCTGCTGAACTCTCCTCTGGAAAGTTCTGCACCAGTGCTGGACCCCTCCAAAGAGGAATTTGCCCTGCTGTGCTGCCAGAGGTCATCCCCTTGTCCTCACTCGGGTATCAATGCCATTAAGACTAAATTTAATTAAAATTGTCTCCACACTGATGGAGACTGTCCCAGGTGCTAACAGAGCCTCGATGCCCATGGTGGATGGACACTTCAGCTACAGACAGCCACAAATTCGGGGAAAATGATGGGATTCCCCCACCCCAGCACACTGCTGGGAATTGTTACAACCCACCGTTTACACGAAACACTATTTGCATAATTTGGCGTGATTCCTTCAATAAATATTTACTCCGTTTTGACTCATTTTCCCTCAGAATTTTCGTGGATATGGCTAATATTCAGATTTCCATTCTGTGACTAAACTTTTGCAACAGCTCAACTTCGTTTAACGAGCACTTTTTTTACAGCTTAATGGCCACTTCAAAACTTAAATGTGCCTTTCAAAATAAGGGGCTGGGAATCCAGGACACTCTGTGGGTATCAATCCTTTCAAGCTCAGCTCATTTTCCACTCGATTCTAGGGAACAGCCCCCAAAACAGGATGGGGTACAGCAATACTGTAAATAAAAATACCGTACAACTTCTCTGTTATTCCAGGATAGGGCTTTGAAAGCTTTTCTGCTAAATTCTGGAGAAAATGGGAATATTTAAGGGTTGGGATGGGAGCGGATGTTGGATCAGCACCTGTTTTGTGCATTCCAGCTATGACATGTGTTGTGAAAGAGGAGCATAAGCTCCCCTCAAGAGAGCTCTGAGGATCAGAGCAGCACAGAAAGCTCTCAGCGTAAAAGACGAGGCGAGTTGGTGCTTACTGTTCGCTGGGGAGGGAGGAGTTCCTGGACATGGTCTTTGGTGAGAGGTCGTAGTCGCTGTCGGATCGGTAGAGGAAGGACTCGCGGCGCTGGCTGTGGCCCGGGAACGTCGTGTGCAGGACGAGTCCCGCCGAGGAGCTGGCCTGCGGGTCCAGCGGGCTGCGCCCCGGCGACGGGCCATTCTCCACATCGAAGCTGCCGGGGGAACACAGAGCGCGGGTCACGCTGTGCGCGAGAGGCTCGCAGAGGGTGTTGTCACCTCAGCAGGGCTCGGTCAC